TCGCCACACCCTGATTATGTTATCAGAACCAATCAATAATGATCACGATCATGAATGAAGGAGGCAATCTCGACATAATAACACAATGACTGCTACGACTCTATCAGCTTAGCGAAAACAATTGGCAATAATCCAAATCGGATGACTGCTAAACCCTCAAAAGTGAAGGTTTCACAGATACACTTCCGGATTCCGTTTCGTTAGCAAACGCATGTTGTGGATCTTCAAACACATGCCAAATGATTTGACTGCAGATATAATGTATATTTTATACACCACAATAAGAAATAAATGAAATAAAACCGATATTACTTACCAACTGCAATCCAAAATTCCAGATCCCCTACGCAAAGGCGACAGTTCGACACAATGTCTGTGGTTCCAAATTATGTTCTCACGTCCCCACTGTATAATTTTACTGTTATATTACTTTCTACATGCTTGACGCATTTAGGTTCGCTTTAATATAGCCATGCGATCCATAAACGGTCCACTCACGCCGGCCGCTGCGGTTTGGCGGTTATCCAAGCGATAAAACCGCAGGTGAAATTCGCGAACAACGTCAGACAAATATAACGCTAATTGTAACATTGCCCTAAGACGGTCCTGGCATTAATCTGACTCGTCTCATCTAAATATTTATGGATTGTAAATGCTACTTTCCCAGTAATTTCTGTCATGGATTATGAGTATATTGAAATACTGAGAAGCAGGGACACTTTATTGTCGAGCATGATACACACGCAAATCTATTGTGTTACTTTATACAAGGTTTAGTACGCTGATTCGTAAGAAGGCTTTACGAGCACGGGACAGTTGTAAACTATTTACGTTACTATGTGAGATTTTTTAGAGCCTTGGGTGTATAAAGCCCTTTCTGTTATCTTCTTTGAAAGGTCTGCACTGCCTGGTCGGCCTTCATCGACATATGAAAGACCTCAATTCTTCAGAAGCCGCGCCTTGACAAGAAACCGTGAATGGTCTTGCGGACTTCTTCGTTCTGAATGTGTAGATTTTGTCCTAACATTAAAAGAGCGGATCCTTAGAAATGGTTTTTCTTTCATGTTTTTTGCTGTTTGGAGAGCAGGTATGCCTTGGCTCTCGTTGTTGTAACACTCGCCAATAACAGAAAAGTCATTTATCTCTGTGTTGTAAAGAAATCGTTAGCTCTTTTTATACATGTTTTTTCCCAGACCTTGGAGAAGAGCTCTTAATTCTCACGTGCCAGCAGTGTTAGGGAGCTGAGGAATCTTTGTATTTTTTACATGGAAATAATTGTCAGGTATCGATTGTTAAGATCAAGGCCCTGTACACAATATTTGAGATTGTGTTAGGCATGTTGTTCTGATGAACCTAAGCATATGATATGCGGCATGGTGGACGAATGGTCCTATTTCATTTGTCATGTCCTCTGGTCAAGTCTGTTGGTAGTTGGGTCGTATTCATACCTCGTGGGAATATTCGCTACCATGACTGCTACGTTATGAGCCACGCTCTGGTGAAAATGCGAAGTAGTGAAATCCAGTTTTTATATTGCATGATGGCAGAGAGGTTTATACACAAAATAACTTGAGTTAATGTGCAGATTTTTTGGGTTGTGACAGGTCCGTAAAGTATGGAACTGTCCGTAACCCTTGGAAAGTGGCCAGACTCGGCGAGCTATCATTGATCAAGCTGAAACAAAAGGGCTTAACACCAAATGCCATCCATGCAGATAGGACTACAACATTAGGGGAAGGATGCCTCTTCCCATGTGACGTCAGTGGGTGGCTAGCAGTGTATAAACCTTGCAGGGAGAGTTTGAAGATTGAGAGTTTGAGGTCAGCGACCTCGAAAATGATCCAGAGAACCCACAACATGGCAATGATGACCGACGACGACTGTGCGTCGTTTTCAAGTTCAGTAGGGAATTCCTGGGAGAGAGTATATTCCATCATCACTACGAAGAAATGGCAAGGAAGAAAGTAACACTTTCGGTTCCAAAGTTTCTGATATCTGGTAAAAAATGCGCCTAGCACAACATGTCTCATGACTATCTAGCTCTGTTTGGAGTTTGTCCAGAAGGTTTCTTGCAGCGATAAATAATGTGATTGTGAATGAAACCTGGGTTCTGGGTTCACTTGAGACCTGAGACCAAACAACAACCAAAACAATGGAATCATGTTGCATCACCATCACGACAGAAGGTAAAGACTTTCCTATCAGCGAGAACGGTACCCTGTCATGGCGACGGGGTCATCAGCTCTTCAGAAAGGCCAGTCAATAAACAGAGGATATTATGCACTTTACGGGCAATTACTGGGTAATTAAGACTATGACACGAAGAAAGCCGACATGGTCTCTTCCGGCAAGGGAGGTGGGGTAGCCTAGTGGTTTAAGCGTTCGCTCGCCACGCCGAAGACCCGGGTTCGATTCCCCACATGGGTACGATGTGTGAAGCCCATTTCTGGTGTCCCCTCCGTGGTATTGGTAAAAGCGGCGTAAAACCATACTCACTCACTCACTCTTCCGTTGCTTCTTTACACAGTGCCAGGATATTCTGTTTGAGTATTCTTATCCCTGAGACCGCCTCCGTGGTGTAGTGGTTAGAGCGTCCGCCCAGAGAGCGGAAGGTCGCGGGTTCGATCCCCGACCGCGTCATACCAAAAGACGTTAAAATATGGTACTTGTTGGTCCCTGCCTGGCGCTCGGCATTAATGGGTACAACAAGGACTGGTCGGCTCGGAGTCAGTATAATGTGTCTGAGTGGGGTATTCATGCGGCATGGTATCTCAGTGGGCTAGCACTATAAAATCAGCTTCAGTCTGGGCTAGTACAAGCAGCCGCACATACACATACACACGCATGCAGGTCGTCATATGAGCGAAATATTCTCAAGCACGACGTTAAACCCAATTTCACCTCACCTCACAATCCGCTCTAGCACAAATCAGTACTTTAATATTTTCTACGTGTGTGTGTGGCTTTATGCTCCTTCAGTACCAACCCTATTCTCCTGGTCTGGTTCCCTCAGATTTCCAGCATGAATCTCATGAATTAAGCTCTGAACTGGAACCCATTTCGAACGATGATGTCACAGCAGTTAATTGGATTTGTTTGGACAACCAAAAGGACTTCAACAAAATCGGGATAAATTCCCCCAACATTGTGGGCAAATGTGTATCAATCTGGAAAGGGATTGTGTAGCAAAATATATCGTTTTAATTGGTTCAGTTGAAGTATTTCGATGTAAGGACCTTTACAATCGACCTACTCATCTTTGTTTAAGGAGTGACGACACGCTCTCCATATCTCCTATAGCACAACATTTCACTTTCTCATGGGAATAATTTGATTGGAAGGCTATATTTAACGTGTTCAAAAGAATTAAAAAAAAATAAGAAACATGGGTCATATTATTCTTCGACCAGTACCTGGAAACTTCTTCGAGTGGCATTTAGAAGTTGGTGTGATGAAAAGCGGGGGAGTTCTATGGATATACAACTTCTTTAATATCAAAATGAGCGAAGTTTCGGTGTAGCTACTAACACGAGATTTTGCGGTGTCAGGACATCCAGTATGTCCAACAAATAATTTATTTTTACTACTAATAATAATATAAAATCTGAGGATTGTTTTTTTTTATTTTCCGGAACATAATGGTTTTCTTTTGAGTCTGACAATCCGGTGATTGATATTGTCAGCAACGATCCATGTCTGTTAACCCGATCTATCAGGCGCCTCTAGCATAGTTTGCTGGGGAGCCATTCTTTCTGACCCGGAATCCACACGTGTATGTCCTTTATGAAACCTAGCAATATTCCATTCCATGCGAACAATGAGTTTTGAATTTTTCTCAAGGCAAATACCTAACAGGCAACATCATGTGATTAAATCCTTAGTGAAGTACACGAGTTAGTGCTGTTATTACGCTTTGTCTGGTGTATGTAGTGTAAGTGTAGCTTTCAATCGTTATTCCATTCAATTAATTTCATCCAATATTATTTTCTAATTTCTTCAACTGAGCGGCGTGTAATCTACCTTACAGTTCCTTTCACAGTGTTCGAAATTAACGTCGGTCCTTAGGCCCGAAGCCGACTGAAAACTATTTGGATCCACAGCTTTTGTTTTCTACAGGTCCTTATGGCCGACAGCTTTTTCATCCCCAGTAACTTTTCAGGAGTATTATTTTTTAGAAATATCATTCAGTAATTACTAGGTTGTATCAGTCCCTAGAGTTAAATTAAACTCTTTAACTCAGTTTGTTAGTTGTCACATTTTTGCTTGCCGGGAATAACTTATATTGTAGCTAAAATATAGGGCCTACACAATCTGATCAGGACCCACAACTTTTTATGGTTCTGGGTCCTTAGGGCCTGCGGCTTTTCAGGGTTGAGGGCAAACACTGTTCTTTCCTCACCAACATAATTGTTATGAAAAGAAGCTTTTGTGAAAGACCAAGAACTCGGGGCTTGTTGACAATCCGGGGATCAAACTGTGTGAACCAAATGTGTGATGTGTGTGAACCCAGACGGCGTTGGCAGCTGCAGCAACTACCCATGATCTGTTACTCTGGGTGTTAAACGCGGTGTAAAACAAAATTCACCTATACAATGTAGAATAAATCCGACGGATTACAGTTAACCTGCTTGATATATTTTTGGCCTTATTCAAAGTCACCCCAAAGCCCTTTAAACCTCTAAGTTTAAAATGTACCAGCAATGCTATCATCACTTCCTTGAACAGTAATCGAACGAGGTAACATCTCACATTTAAGGTCCGCTTCAAAAGTCCGCTAGTGTTCAAACATGACACTTTTCGCGCCACGAGGGAGCAATAAATTACCAATTTGTAAACTTAATTTTTTTGTGTATTTCAATTCCAAAATTGACTAAAATGTTGCAAAAGATATTTTACAAATTAATAAAATACTCACACCAGATGATATTTATAGTAACCATAAAAAATGAGAAAATTATCTTTATGTTTTTCGAATTAATAACTTGTCCCTAAGACGGAAGTGAACAGAACGTTTGTTGATATTCCTGTGCTCTCGTGTGTGTAAGTGTATCTGTTAACCTTGCGATGCTAAGTGTTGTCGAATACTCGAGCAGCTCTGATGAAAATGACATTCATGATTCAACGGAAGCAATTCTTCCACCCACCGTCTCTGACAAACGATCAGCTTCACCGTCAAATGACACCAGCGATTGCAAACGCTTAAAAACTGTCGAGCCAGAAATTCGGTGAGTGAATATAAGCATATTGACGCCATGCGCGTGTCTAAGTGCACAACACATTAATAAGATATTTACAGCCATCTCAGCAAAGTAGCTCAGTGTCGTCCGCATAAGCAACAGCGGATGTGGGGTTATTTATGTTTTTTTTTATTCTCGTCTAGAATACAGAATTTAAATAAATTGAATTTTAGTTCGATGGCTCAAGGATGGATCGTGTCAGCTGGACGCATAGACGAATGCAAAATATGATAAGCTTAAGGGGTTGGGGGAGTCTTTCTGGAATGTTGAAAGTTATGAAAGTTTATTATTTGAAATGTTTCCTTAAAAGGAACTGAAAAATTTACAATAGAGTATCCGGGATATCACTCATATCAGGAACACTAGTTGTTGCTTCAGTTACTAATATAAAGGTGTTGTTCGTTTGTATAGTCTGTTTGCAGTGAAAATGCACTGATGAATTTCACTCTAAACAAAAAAGTAAATCGATTAAAGCGAAATTAAGATTGCGAATCCTCATAATTTTACCTTGCCAATTGAACATTCAAATCTCAGAATTTTATTCAACTTAGGATAAAAGTTGTTTAACAAACGATCATAGTTTCAAATCGCTATTATTGGGTTGTATTACAGGGGGTATGCACATCAAATGAAACACCGAGAACAAGTAGGGCTGGTCTAAGTTAACGCTCATTACGTACCGCATGTGCATTTGTTTCACTGTTCCATCTACTGCGTTTTCATTGCAAACAGACTATAATCAGTGTTTATACATCAGGTAATTCGGTATTTCCTCAGACGTGAAGACCAGCTCCTCCCTCTGCCTTCAGCAATACAGAAGTTGTATGATGATGGAACTGAGAAGACTCGCAGGGTGGATAACAGTAAACATTGTGGCCGGATACGATCCTTTGCTCATGTGGAAGGCAACTGGGCCACATTTGTGTATGTCCCAGGTATGTATATAATGGTATGTGGGTTGGGTGGGTAGGGTGGTGACAGCAGTAGGGTTGGGGTGGACACCGGGGAGGGTAGGTAGGGTAGGGTGGTGACAGGAATACCTACATGTTGGGGTTTGGTGGACATGGATGAAGACAAGTGGAGACAGTAGGGACGGGAATACAATTTGGGGTGGGATGGATGTAGAGCTGGTGGGGACAGGTGGAAACAGGGATGGGTCACAGGTGACAGGGAATGGATAGGAGTGTGGGTTGGTCGGACACAGAGACAAGGGTGGGGATAGGCAAACAGTAGAAATGGATGCAGATTAGATCGATACAAGGGATGATGGGACAAGAATATGGGTTGGATGGAAACAGACAAGCAAGGGGACATGGGAAGCAGTGGAGACGGATGGTGATAGGTGGATACAGATAGATACACCATATACAGGGATAACTGGGTCAAGAAAGAGTTGTACTGTAGACAGCTTGTGCACAGAATCGGGTTTGGTCAGGGAGTATGGACGCAGGGAGTTGGGAAGAGTTGGACTGCTGGTACCTTTCCTCAGGGGTGGAAATAACCCATTGCCCGACGCCCGAGCCCAGTGTTTTTTTCTGTCGGGCAAGCAAATTTGTATATCACACTGTACCGGTGTCCAGTTGATATTCCAATGTTAATTATGTTGTTTATTTAAAAAATCAACAAGAAAACGGCCGGTATAGTGGAAAAATTATCAGGGCAAGTGATTTTACATGTGCCACTGTACCGGAGTACATTAGCAATTTTAGAGTTATTTCCACCCCTGTTACTGTTTGAACCATGATTCATCAGTGATTTTCCAAATGATTCCATGATTTCCATGGCATGCAAATTGAGAAAAAAAATTAGTTATCTTTTAGAATTTGATCATTTCCCTGTTCATACATTTACAAATTTTGAGATAATAGGAAATATTCATTTCAACTGGGCATTTTTATTGTCATTTGCTACAGACTCTGGATTGATTGTCAACGCAACAAATCCATGTTGAGTGTAAGACACTTATGTGTGATGCATATTACAGAAACCTAATTTTTTAGATATCTTTGCCATGTCATATATGCTGTCATGTGAACTGAATTCACACATTCTCTTTTGTTGTTGATGTAGAGAAAAACGTAAGATTCGTCAAGTGTTTGTGTTTCTGTGTTCCAGTCACCCCTGACGACAGACTTCTGGAACTGTTCACCTCCCTGCTCTCATGCCTCCGCCCCCTCAAGTTCCAACTGATGTCAGATCACCATGTGACCCTCTCTCGAACCGTAGTGATCCGGCACCACTGGATAGAGTCACTCAGAGACTCCCTGAAGGAAAATCTCTCATCTTGTGATGGGTAAGAATTTGTCGTGTGTATAATACGAAATGAGTGATTCAGTGGATGTCTTAATATTTCACGACCCGTGAAGCTCTGGGTTAGAAGGTCAGTAACCCACACTTGTCGTAAGAGGCGACTAACGGGATCTGGTGGTCAGGCTCACTAACTTGGTTGACACATGTCATCAGTTCCCAATTGCGCAGATCGATGCTCATGCTGTTGATCACTGGATCGTCTGGTCCAGACTCGATTATTTACAGACCGCCGCCATATTGCTGGAATATTGCTGAGTGCTGAGTGAGCGTAAAACTAAACTCACTCATTTAATATTTCACAGTTGCCTGCCCATGAAGATCGGGGTTAGAATTGGTCTTCAGCAGCCCATGTTTGTCATAATGACGAACTGGTTCAGACAGTTAGTTTGAATATTTTGGTGCATTTTATAACTGCACAGTATTACCGTTATACCGGTATATCGCAATACACAAACAATACATATTACAATATGTTTTCTGAGAGTGAGTGAGTGAGTTTGGTTTACGCCACTTTTAGCAATATTCCAGCAATATGTGGGGACACCAGAAATGGGCTTCACACATTGTGTTCATGGGGGGATTGAACCAGGGTCTTATATGACGAGCCAACGCTTTAACCACTAGGCTACCCCACCGCCCTGTTTTCTGAGAACTGGTATATTGGGTAAAGAGCATATATGAAGTTTTTGTGATTATCTCTATGGTTTAAATTAAAATCTACACAGACTTTCATTCACAACAAATGTTGCCTTCGTTATTCAATGACAGATTAATTTGTATAAAAAAGAAAATAGAACCCATGACTATGCAACCTAATTTTGAGATTGTTGTTGTAAGAAACATAACATATATGTTTAGGGACTTAGAATGTAGAAAATAGGATTGCAATTGACATGCACAATTAGTGTCACACACTGTCAAACACTTAAGTTTGCAATATATCGAAATACGTATCGCAATACAGGTGCCTCTATATATATATATACCTAGTGCATGTCATCATCCCAATTGTGTAGATTGAATGATGCCAGTCACCTGATTGTCTGGTCCAGTCTTGATTATTTACAGACTAATAGCTGGAATCCATCGTATAGCTGGAATATTGCTGAGTGTGGTATTAAACTACAAACAAGGTAAACATGTAACAGCTGGCCAGTTCATATTGTGATAGTAAAGCAGATGCCTATCCTTACGCTTTGGGCGTAATTATTACAATTGTAACCATTAAATTACGCCATTACACTTAATCTGCGAAAATTATGGTTTTCTACTCGTTTTACGAAAATCAGTAATGTGGATAAATTTTCACAGGAAAGTGTTTATAACGCACAGGTGCAGGGGTGCACAAATGGCCTTGCACCAGGATAGGAATCGCAATATTCCAGCTCTTAGCACTCTTAGCATCGCTCATTCCAATTAACTTGTAAGGAATTAAAGTATTTTGTGTCACATGACCAACAATTTTCAATGTATGGAGCTTCATAATGATTGGTCACATATGTTTCTGTCTAGAATCTTCCTTTCGTGAAAAGGTGCACCATGTCGAAGCGTTCGGCAGACAAGTATTACACTTTTTAGGTCCAAATTACACTTTTTGACCTCCAGTATTACACTTAGGCCCCAAATAGGGTTGGCATCTCTGGTAAAGCCTTAACATAGGTCATAGATGTTTTACCACATCGGTAGAACACACAAAGATGGGTATTGGGAAGACAGTGCTAGGTTCTAATCAGGGATAAGAATACTCAAACAGAATATCCTGGCACTATGTAAAGAACCAGCTCTACACTCCCAAGAAAATGTCGAAAAACTGAAGCTATCGAACCACCATCAGACAGAGGCAGACCTTATATTCTTCTCTGAGTTTGGGGGTGGTGGGGTAGCCTAGTGGTTAAAGTGTTTGCTCGTCACGCCTTCCGGTTTGATTCCCCACATGGGTACAATGTGTGAAGCCCATTTCTGGTGTCCCCCGCAGTGATATTGCTGGAATATTGCTAAAAGCGGCATAAAACTAAACTCACTCACTTCTCTGTGTTTCTTTGGGACCAGAATTGTCTCCCTTAGTTACAGATTTTGTAATCAGCAAATATTGAGTCACTCACTTCTCTGCATTTCTTTGGGACCAGAATTGTCTCCCTTAGTTACAGATTTTGTAATCAGCAAACATTGAGTTGTACATGTCAAGTTTTTCATCAGTTACATGTTAGAAAAAAATGTTAAGACCTGTTCATGTTTGTGTTGTTTCTTTGTGAAGGAAGCTGATCTGATTTGTGCTACTGCTGAATGTAGTTTATGGATCAATTTTGTTGGCACTTAGAGGAATAAAAATATGCTCTTTGTAGTTAGTTTGTTTCATTTGTCATGTTTTAGGGTCATCAGACCTGTGAACAAAGTATTAATAATCACCCCCTTACATTTTGCAGCATGCCTCATGTCTCAGGAATCGAATAATCTTTGGAGAAATCTGGAGTTGCTCTTGCAGAACACTGTACATAACCTTGCTAAACATAGATATCTATGTGTATTAATCGTTTGTTGTTTCAGCTGTATCTGTGATATTGTGCAACCACGACTCTACACCAATGATGAGAAGACCAGGTGAGTGAGTGAGTGAGTTACAATTTATGCCGCACTCAGCAATATTCCATCTGTATGGTGGCAGTCTGTAAATAATCGTGTCTGGACCAGACAATCCAGTGATCAACATCATGAGCATCAATATACTGGGATACGATGACATGTGTCAACCAAGTCAGCGAGCCTGACAACCCGATCCCGTTAGTCGCCTCTTACGACAAACATAGGTTACTGAAGATCAATTCTAACCCGATGAGTTATCAAGTGGCCTTATTCAGGGTTTTATCTTGGGTCTGAAATGTGTGCCTGTGACAGGAAACTTTGAAATGTTTTGGGGTCAAACATTGAGATTATTTTTGAATTCTCTATTTTCCTGAAATAAACATGATAAAATGACCATTTATTATGAGTGTAATAAAGTAAAGTTCAGTATTAATATAAAGCCCTTTTCGAATTCATTAGTTCACTTGTCACTGTTTTTCAGAAAATCCAAGTAATCTTTGCCAAGATAAAACACTGACTTATGACATGATGTTAGTGACAAACTGTTAAACACAAGTTTCACCTATCAGTGTACATTTCAACTAAAGTGTTTCCTCTTGGCTTTGACATCAAAAACAGAGCTCTCCGAAACATTTTATGTGCTGAGCTGGTTGAAAATTGTAGGTATTGTCTTGTATGACAGGGCTCGAAAACTTAAAAAATATGTAGGGCGAGTAATATGAACTTTCCACTCTTCCTTCGTCCAACTTTCCCAATAGATCATGCATCACAATGAATATACATTTAAATTATTTTATTTCAAAATGTTTGCTTGGAATAAAACTACAATAAACAGTACTTACTTTGTCTTCTGTACAAAATCTTTGACAAAATTGAATTCATTCACCATTTAAGATAGCTGAACTTCAAGGAAAAAGAAAAATGTTACTTTTGGGTCAGAAAACATACTCGTCCTCTAGGACGAGCAAATTATGTTTTTCACTTGCCCGAAACAAATTTTGACTCGTCAATACGAGCGGACGAGTGGAATTTTCGAGCCCTGCTGTATGGAAGGAACTCAGACACAAATTAACAAACATGTGGATGGTATCAAGTAAATGCGTTCTTAAGTGATCTTTGAGGAATGTTTCTACCCAGGACGTTCCTGAGTCTGGAAGTTCAGGAGGAGGGGACTCACTTACGTCACTATGTGGATGTGGTCAACAAATGCTTCAAGGAGTTCCGATTACAGTCGTACTACGAGGTAGGTTACTCTGGAAGCTAGACTTGCATTTAGGTGATATTGGCTACAGAGGTTCTATGCAGTACTCTACAGTAGGGTTTCTCTATGATTAATCATTTTGTTTGTGAGAAAGAAGCTGAATTCCCTACTTGGGTACATCCATGGCACACCCTTTGATGAGATTGGTGGAATTTTGCAGGCTTGCTCCTGTTAAATGTTTGACTATACAGTTGGCCATTGGAATTGGTTTGATGTTTGTTATACAGGGCTGCAGATAATTTTTCAACATCAGGGAGTACGTACTCCTTATTTATTCAATATAGGAGTACTGGAAAACAATAAGAGTACATTAGAGTACTGAATGGAATTTAATGGAGTATCAGTAATCTTGTGTTTCGTTTCATATATGCACCACAACATTGCTACTCTTGTGTAAACAGGTCAATAAACAATAAAACAATACTCTTTCACATGAATATGTCTGTAAATGATTCTAAGACTGTAAACCATTACTGTGGTGCGTATGTGCTACGTTTTCTAAATTATTTCCTACCGTATCGTGCATATTTTTTACCCGTACATACGCCGATACGGCCCTTATCTGGAGCCCTGTTATATCTTGGCCTCACATCAGTTTGACATCGTATTATGATTGAATGGTCAAGAACGAGTGAGTGAATGTAGTTTTACGCCACCCTCAGCAATATTCCAGCTATATGGCGGCAGTCTGTAAATAATTGAGTCCAGACAATCCAGTGATCAACATCATGAACATCGATCTCCGCAATTGGGATACGATGACGTGTCATCCAAATCAGTGAGCCTGACCACCCGATCCCGTTAGTCACTTCTTACAACAAGCATGGGTTGATGAAGATCAATTCTAACCCGGATCTTCATGGGTTGAGTGAGTGAGTGAATGACTGAACATGGATCCAGAAGAGGCTGATGCAATCAAATAACCCTGTTGCCAAACATTGAATCCCTCAATTCCAGTACTATAAGAACAAGCTTTGAGGAACATCTCTAACTTTCAAGTACTGTATAAAAATAGGATGTATTCAGTGTGTGTTACTACTGATCAGGCAATAGAATGTAGTATCATCATCAGTCATTCAGGGATACAGAGAAACATATAGTCCTCATGCCACCTGAATTGGTGGTATCTTCCTACCACTGATGTTGATTGACAGATATGAATATTCCCATATTTCAGAATCCATCTTTTCACATCAGCATCGCTTGGTGCTTGGGAGATGTTACAGCTGATGTAACCGACCAAAAGTTCCGTCAGATGAAGGTAAAGTGTTACAGCAGACAATTTAGATGCACCTTGGTTAATATTGCCCCTGTGTTATATGGGCCTCCTGACATGATATGTCTTTCACATGACCTAGAGGTTTCCACAGGTAATTCCTTGATGTACCTACTTGTATCAAATACAGCTCTGATGATGCTCTTCACATGGATTAGTAACTTGATAATTGGATGATTTGTTATGCCATGTTCAGACATATATTGACAATTCAAAACCTGCAAGTTGACCCATGAAGATCAGATTTAAAACTGATCTCCAGGAACCCTTTCTTGTCATAAAAGGTGACCCATTGGATTGGATGGCCTGGCTAGTTTGGTTGATGCGTATCTTCTTATCCCAATTCCAATGTTCATGATGTCAATCAGTGGATTGTCTGGTCCAGATTTGTTTTTACAGACTGCCCTCATATTGTTAGAAAAATAACAGTGAATTCTTAGATAATAGACGTTTAGAATAATTTTAAAATCCATACTTTTAATCTTGGCGTTTCGAAGGTTTATGGTCTGCAGCAATTGTGATTGTATTTCAGAAAATGGTTCAAGTGTTTGGCCGGGAGAATCCAGATCTCAGTGTCCTCGAGGTTCAGGAGATCGAGTGCAAGTCAGGGAACAAGGTGTTCCGGTTTCCACTACAGCAGGACAGCTGACCCTAGGCAAATAAAATCCTCACACAACATTGCTGTTTGTCGTTTTAGTTTTAATATACCACTGTCTCTGAATTATGGATGGCCTCAAAACACTAGATTCCTTCCACAGTTTCATCAATGCCGTTCGTGACAGTCCTACTGAACAAGGTTCCTGTTTCCTAAACAGAGGACCATCACCTGATTCTAGAATTCCAACTGAAACTCAAGGCAGGAAGAGATCAATTTTGCAGAATTTGATCAAGGAATGTATCTTCAGCAACCTATCCTTGTCGTAACAGGTGACTGATTGGATATGGTGGTCAGGTTTGCTGACTTGGTTGAGACATGTCGTAGCCAAATACTGTTGATGTTCATGATGTCGATCATTTTACTTAATTGTTTATAACGCGCCATCGCGAGGGTTCGAATCCCGGATGGGACTCAACCCAACAAATGTACTGGAATATGTACTTTTCCAAGACAGTGTAATCCCAGATATGACATGTTACATTTGACCACTTTCTAAATGGCACCGTGAAGGTCCGGGTTAGAATATTGGCCTTCAGTAACCCATGCTTGTGGTAAGAGGCGACTAACGGGATCGGGATCGGGTGTCAATTTACGACAGACTTGGTACTGTGTTTGAACTGAAATACCATATGGATGGTTTCACAAGGAAGTTAGCTGTTCACGTATATTTCTTGTCTTGCATGACATTTCCGGTATTAACTACCTGTGAAGATCCGGGTTAGAATTGATCTTCAGTAACCCATGCTTGTCGTAAGAGGCGACTAACGGGATCGTGTTGTCAGGCTCGCTGACTTGGTTGACACATGTCATCGGTTCCCAATTGCGCAGATCGATGCTCATGCTGTTGATCTCTTGATTGTCTGGTCCAGACTTGATTATTTACAGACCGCCGCCATATAGCTGGAATATTGCTAAGTGCAGCATAAAACTAAATTCACTCACTCACTTTCTAAATGGCATTGTGTATTCATCGCCCTTATATGTAGCTGGAAAATTGCTGACTGTGGTGTTAACAAGACAACAATAATGATGTTTGCAACAAAATCAGGTTAAGTTACATGTTATGGGTGTACAACATTAAGTGTATATAAATTGTCATAAAACGTACCATTTAGAGAGAAACGATTTGCTGATAGTTCTGTCCGTCCGCAAAATATCCCAAGAGGCGTTCGTAAAATCGTCTATCTGTCTTTGCTTTGGACTGTCGTCATTCAGCTGTAATATTGCGTTAAGCAAACAAACACATGCTCATGATACAGTCGGAATTTTAAGCAGAGATTTCTAATGGATGGGGAAAACGTTTTGTCGTGTTTATTGCAAATTTCACAACATAACGCGCTATTAGCTGAACGGCACCTAAAATTACGACTTCCCAACTTGTGTTAGTTTAGAGAAAATTCACTCCGTAATGAACAAACCTGAAACCAGAGTTTTCCGCATGAAAAACGGACGCGGGACATTGTAAGAGGGGTGTATTCATTTAATCATGACCAGTTACTTTTCTTTGAATTTAATGGGCTGAATTGAACGGCTCTTCGGCAAACGTCATGAAATGGCTGCTGAGACCAAGCGAAAGCGAAAGATAAAAGTAATCAATTTAATTAAAACGAAAAACGAATGTAATTTATCAGTTATGAGGCTACCCCATTTTCATTTCAGCATAATTAAATCCCAGGACATGGGAAGGGACAAGTGTTTATGAAACATGCTATTAAGAGTTAAAAGTAAGTGTTCTTGTGTCATCGATAGTGGTTAAACGAGTATAAATAGACTTGGAACTTGGAACTGTCCCCACATATTTACTGCCGGATTTCTAACACCTCTTGCAGACCTGGGCCTAGATTTTCGAAGCTCTCTTAGCGCCAAGAGAGCTTCGAAAATCTAGGCCCAGTCCGTTTAGCCAAATATGGACCCAAACCGGCACAGACTGCAACAGAAATGGTTTCTGCTGATTTGCACTCAGAATCTATTCCTCTATCAGGTTTGACCTAGAAGGTCAGGACCATCTCCAGCACTTTACGTGAGGTTAGTTATTCTTTTCGGTTGTGTTTTAACTGTGTCATGATGCATGTCAAATGAAGGCATTGGTCTGATTTGTTTTAGAAATTTATAATTTAACAACATCAGATATCTGCATTTTGAGAATCTGCATCCTTGAAATGCAAAACTGTTACACATATGATAAGTCTCAGATTAGTTTCATCCTTATCTACCCATTGTTTTTGCGATCGTATCGTACCGTGTGAGTTTACGTACAATTAAATAGATTTGGAATACATGCTAGAATAACTGATTTTCTGTTGAAATCCGTTTAGCCTGCAACCAACGAATCAGATCGTAAATAATAAAACACACACACACACACACACACGAAAAAACCCATCATATAATTTTTTTCACTTAGAAACGCAGTCATCTGCCACCTGCCTGTTGTGTCTTCAGGAACGGGGGCGGTGGGGTAGCCTAGTGGTTAAAGCGTTGGCTCGTCACGCCGAAGACCCGGGTTCGAATCCCCACATGGGTACAATGAGTGAAGCCCATTTCTGGTGTTCCCCGCCGTGATATTGCTGGAATATTGCTAAAAGCGGCGTTAAACCAAACTCAGTCAGTCAGTCAGTCAGTCTTCAGGAACGTGACTCGACACAGGTGAGCCCCTTGTTGTAATCACATTGTGCATGGATATTGTCACTGAAACATGGAACAGTGTGGGCAGTTCCAAGTTTTATAATACCTAAGTGCTATTTTTCAGATACGTAAAAGTTTAGACAGCTGCTGGTTTGATAGAACATAAACCTGCCGCTCATCAGTTTATTGCTTCAGATTTGAATTCGTTTTTAAATTACAAAGACATTAAAAATTTTAAGAACCTGATCTGATCGCTGTTGCATGTATAATAAACTGATTTACGACATGCAGTATTGCATTACAAGGGTGTTTTTCTACCACAGCAATGCCCTTAAAAATAGCCCTAATAGTTACATTGAGATCACAGACTTCTTACATTAAGATCATTGAAGCAAATGTCTCTGATATTGTATGGGTCTTTTTGCAAGAAATAGCGAATATTCTGGAGAAATTGCGTCAGATGTTCCCTGTAAAAGGTCAGATATTCAATTCGAGATCTTTGCCACACTTAGCTATCATCGGAAGTAAGGATTTCAGAAAAAAGCTAGTTTTGATGAGACTTCACAGTGAAAAGCGTAAGTGAAAATGACAGATGGCGAGGTTCGGGAATGAATGCCCGACTCCAGTAGCTTCCAGGGTGACGTCTACATTAAGACGTGACATTTATGTCGACGTGACCGACAGAACAACAACGTCTCTGACCGTGCCCGTAGAAGCCGCGACTAAGCTTCAACAGACATACGGCTTGGAACCTTGCATCTTGAACACAGGTTTCAGATTGTTGGGGCGATGGATAGCCTAGTGGTTAAAGCGTCCACTCGTCATGCCGAAGACCCGGGTTTGATTCCCAGTTCTGGTGTCCCTCGCCGTGATATTGCTATAATATTGCTAAAAGCGGCGTAAAGCCCTACTCACTTAATCACTCCAGGTAGTCCCGCTTCAACAGAGGCGTACCGGCGAAGACAGTCAGACGACGTCTTTCCATCCGCAGCAACATCTGCAACGACCCAGAGAGGCGCCAAGCAAGACCAATACTGACAGCAGAACAAGAGCGTTAACTCTTCATGTTGTGTAGACAAATACCAGCAGTGGACGGCACGTTAATTGATCAAGGTCCTATTCACTGGTCAGTCACGTTTCTTTCCTACTGCTGACTGAGTCACCCTGGCTTTCGAAACACATGATCTGTAACAGTCGCACTTGTCTGAGATGAAAAATAATGGAAACACGTTTTCATCATCCCAAGACACCTAGCAACGTTGCAAGAACTCCTGGCTGTCTCTAGGACTTTCTCCAACGTTTATGGCCGCCTGAAACATCGTCAACAACAGCAATGACAGCAGTCTGACCGATTTTATTTTTCTTTTGCGTGTCACAATAAATTTTGCCTTCGGTGTCCTTTTGAGCCATGTAATTTTGATATTATCTTATTATATAGCTTTGGTGACATACAAAAAATAAATTGTGGTAAAGTTCTTGTGTACCTCTAAAAGCGGTCGTAAAATCCTCCTGTATTCACTGTTCTGACTTATGTGACATTCAGTTTGAGACGCACGTAATACATCATAGGTAGATCTTATGTCGTTCTGTTTATCGATATTTAATCATTTACATACCCCGGGGTAACAACTAGCGTATTTTGAAGTGACAGCAGAAACAATCAACTGTCTTTGTCTTTGAAACCAATTAAGATTTACATTTTCAATTTTCAAGAAAGTACTTTTTCATTATTATCCATTTATTTCATATAAAGAAAACCGCAACTATAAACATGTCTGGTAATATACGCCGAAAGGCTTACAGAGGAATTGTGCGATCTGAGCTCTGGACATGTTTTTATAAGTTTACATACCACATTACTCAAATTATGCTAGGGATTATGCGTCAACGTTAGCGCGTCAAACTCTGTGTATATGTGCAAATAGTCAAAGCAATGCTTCGAGAAGCACCATTGTGCCATACTACCAATACGTGTCTGAGTGGTTGCCGATAGAGAGTAAGATAGTTCCAGGGTTCTTACTTGCGTTCTGCAGGTCATTTCTGAGTGTAGTGGCATCGAAGTGATGAAGTCTTGCTGTAATCGGGACAAACGCGTCTTCCAGATGTGTGGCCTAATGCTGTCGACCACTAGCGTGTCGGTGGGTAGCGGATCCAATAGTCTGATATCGATTTCTTGCCCTGATCACTCTTTGTCTGACAGCAATGGCATTTTTGTAGACCCAGTTTCAAGTATACAATCTTTCTCGGTCGGCGTTGACGCTGAGAAGGCACGCGTGTTGCAGTCTTCCGTAGCAGGTTGTCAGGTTCGTTGACATATGTAATCATATCCCAATTACGTAGTTCGATGCTCATGTCTTTGTCACCGGATTGTCTAGTCCAGACTCGAATTTATAGA